GGGGGGCGTTGGGTGCTCGAGCACCTGCCCTTTTGCCCCTTGGTGCCCAAAGTGCCCTTTTGTCAAGACAAAATTTCCTCTCCTTTTTTTGTATTTAAAGGCACTTTTGTATATGCCTGCCCCATCTAACTAGTAGTAAAATGAATGAATAATAATTTAGCCGTAAATAAAATGACCCACATGATGACTTTTCACCTGATTCCTCACGCTGCACGCGCATTTTTTAATTTCGCGCGGCTACGCGCAATCGCGCATTCCCAGAGGATATCTTCAAGTCTTGCGGCTGCTGGTAAGTGGTGTTTTATTCTCAGCGAAGTGATTTTGATGTTTGTTTACTTATTATTATTATTTTACTAGAACGACGTGAAGAGAGCATGCAGAGAGATGTCGTTTGTATTGCTGTGTGTAGGCTGTAGAAGTAACGTTAGCTTGCTGTTTGAGGGAGAAAAGTTTCACGGGCGTGGAGGGGTGTTATTTGACTTAAAACTATTATTTTTACTTTAAACTATTATTATTATTACAGTATTTATTTAAAAAAATATTTTCACATAAAAATGATTATCACAACTCTGGTAAGTTATCACATAGGCTTACCAGTTATGTTTTGTGTGCAGAAGCCTCTGTGAACATCTGCCCTAGTAACGTTACTATTATATACTATTATTGTATTATATACTTTAGCAGCCTGGGCAGAATCTGTAGCTTTAGCAGGTCAGTGAACTAGTGAGCCAGTTCCAAACACTGTCAGCAATCTTTACATCTTGACATGGTCACATAAAAATGGTTTATTCAGCTAATACCCTATATTTCTGTTTATTTTAATGTCTACAGTCTCAGATCAACTCCAGCAGTATCAGCAGCAGCAGTAACAACATCAACAGCAAAGGCAGCAAACTCACTTAGAACAGGCATCACATTAATGTTAAAAATCTTGTAAAGTATTAATTGCTGTTTCTGTTTGCTTTGTTTTTATTTTCATTGTATAAAATGTAACTCTTGTATTTTTGTAAATCAGTTTTTGCCATGAAAATAGCCACAGATGCTGATATGCCATTAAATAAAACTATACTGTACTGCACGAAACATGGGCCAGGTTGATTTTGTCCTACACAGTTCACTATAACAGCTGTTCTTTATTATTCTGTATAACAGAGAAGAAAAAGCCATCAGGTTGGAACAACTTAAGATGCTTCAGTTTCTAATCCCAGAGTTATATATAGAGCACATCAATTATTTTTTTTAATTTTAAACTTTAAATTTGTCTTTTCTGTTCTGGTTCTTTTTCAAAACTCCATCAATGCATTTGCTGCTGTATCGATGCAGAATCATCTGTATTGATATATTACTGTATTGATATTTTGAGCACAGCCCTATAAAGCCTTGTTTCCATGTGCCCCATTTTATACTTTGAGCACCTGCCCCTCCAGAGGTCTCTGCACGGCCCTGGTCACGATTGTGTCTGTTTTGACCTTTTCTGTTTTCAATTTTAGTCGCATGTCTTTTGTTTTCCCGCTACTCTTTTGTGTCAATGCCAACCATCATTAGTTCACCTTCATCACCTGTGTCCTGATTATCACTTTCATCTGTATCACCTGGTTATGTTCATCAGTGTCGGTATTTAGTTTGTTCTGTTCAGTCATTCTGTGTCGGTTGTTAGTCTTGTTTAGTCGTGTGATCTGCCTGCCTGAACCCTTAAGTTTATACCTGCCTGTTATTATTTGGAGTAAATTGCTGCAATTTGAGCTTTTGCCTGTGAGTCCTTCATCAACCCACACACGCCGTGACATACGAAGTGGACGTTCTCAAAAGGGAACGTACTCGGTTACTAACGTAACCTCGGTTCTCTGAGAGTAAGGGAATGAGTATTGTGTAGCCAGCAGCCGCACTGAGTAGCATGGCAATATGTTGAATACCAAGCTTACATTAGCTACTATTCCCCACCAATTCACAAGCACAACAGAAAAAGTATTTTGTACTTATATTTAATACCCCTGGAACTCAATGGAAGTTGATTTGAAAATGGCATAGCTGGTAGTGTTGTAATAACCAACTGAATCTTTTCACAAAACTGACAAAACATTGTCAAACTTTCAAAATACATCAACATTCAGTGCATGAGCTGTTTCTGACATTCAAACTAAACTATTTTCAACTACATTCAAACTATAAAAATACATGATAGAAACATTTTGTTAAACCACTTATACGTGTTATGTTGATATGTTGATTATGTTGATTGAGTGCTCAAACCAGGCGCGCTCAACTACCAAGACGTTTGTGGGTGCGAGTTATAAAACAGTAATCAAAATAAAGATGAAAAACCGCACTCTCTAGTTGCATCTCATATATATTTATTTTCCATGTCCACACAGACACGTTTCGTTAGACTAATAGGGTATTCTATTTGTCCATTCTATTGGCTCTATTTGTGCTGGCTGCACAAGTCTAATTTAAGGCTCTCACTCATAAATAGTATGGGTATATTATACATTTTCTGAGTCATCAGAGTGTCTTGAGTATTGAAGTTGTTGGTTTTGTGTCCCTGGTGTTCTTTCATGCTACAGGGATAAAAGAAAGCATACAGTTTAGGCGGAAATTGTGAAAAAATGTGTGTTATTTCTGGTTGAAAGAAGTCATGTGACTTCTGTGTTTGTCAGACAGATTCATTACTGGGCTTAAATAAAAGCCTAAAAGGCTTCCTTTCCAACGATACTGTCACGAGGGAGTCCCAGGAAGACGACGAGGAGAGTAGAATAAACATATAACTTTAATGATCGGAGCTCAGGAACAGGCAGACAGAATGACAGCGTGTAACACACAAACAATACCGGACAAGGGAGTGAAGACAGGCAGGAACTTAAATACACAGTGAAGATGATTAACAAATGACAGCCAGCTGTGCGGGAGGTGATTATTGTCCATGGTAACAGATGAGGGCGTAGAACTCAGACGAGGGGAACACGTGATGAATCCAAACACACAGACAGTCCAAGGGTGGTGACAGATCGCCCCCCTCCGGCAAGGCGCGACCTCGCGCCGTAGCAAAATGACTTCAGGTGGAGGACGAGACGATGGTGCAACACAGACGAGAGGCTGGAGTGACGGGACGGTGAGGGGACGATGACGATTCCCTGGCGGCCTCGATGGGGACGGCGCGGTGGCGCAGACCCAGAGCCTCCCAGTACCAACAGCCGATGGCAGGGATGACGGAGGGAAGAAACCAGATGGCGAGGGGACTGACGGTAGCTGGGGGATGACCGACGGAGACTCGGTGGCAGGATCTCTCGGCGCAGACAGAGAGCCGGTGGACTCAAGCGACGTCACCGGTATAGGAGACCCCGGTGACGTAGCGGCGACGAGCGCTGGAGCCGTAGCCAGAGTGCCCGAGAGCTGAGGTGGAGGTGGAGTGAGGGAGGACAGAGGAGACGCCACAGGGAAGGAGGAGCCCGCTGAAGCCGAAGGGGTGGAGGGATCAAGCGTAGCAGACTGACCGCAAGTCCGTGGCGCAGGCAGAGTGACGACTGACCAAGGGGGAGCCGGCAGGACGAGGGAACCCGCTGTAGCCGATGTTTCGAGGGTCTCAGGTGGAGGCGCAGGTGGGAGGAGCCCAGACGGAGCCGGCAGGTCGACTGGCCGAGATGGAGTGTCGAGGACCGAGGCTGGAGGCGACGCCGTGGGATCCTCGAACACAGGCGCTGCTGATGGTGGGCTGACCTGCCGCTCGACGTCGGGGACTCCCCACGGAGATGGTGCAGGGCTGCGCACATCCAGCAGCGGCGAGGCTGGAGGACTGACTGGGAACGGGGATGGAGTGGAGTGAATCAGACAGACGGGAGGACAGAAGTCATCACAGGACGGTACAAAATATGAGATGGATGCCAATGACGGGTGGGATAGGGCGGGAACGATATCCAGTGTCCTGGGTTTCATCAGCCAGTCCTCCAGTTCCAGGAAATTAGTCCCCTCGTCCGCAGATGTTGTGGGCTCACACCCCTGGTCAGACTCCTGTTGGAGCTCCTCCCCCGGGGCGAGGGTCAACTCTGTCCTCTTCGTCTCGGGCACTGGTTGACACGTCGCGGCGGGTGGTAGCTCTCCGTCTGCGGGGGGCACGCACGAGATCTCCGCGGTCGAGGGTGGTAATTCCGGCTCTGGGTCTGGCAGTGTTCTGGATCGGGCTTCGACGCTCTCCAGACACCGGGAAACGGCCTCCTTCCAGTCCAGGTTAGAGGTGTCTGGGAGGTCGAAGTTCTGGTGGTAGGTGGCCCCGATCCAGAACAGGGTCTTCAGGGTTTCATCATCGAGGGAGCTGGAGAGTGCAAGGGAAACAAAGTCTCTGGAAAACGAAACAAAATCTGATGATAATTCAGCGAGATTGATGAAATCGATGTTCATCTTGAGGTTTTGGTCCGGTATTCTGTCACGAGGGAGTCCCAGGAAGACGACGAGGAGAGTAGAATAAACATATAACTTTAATGATCGGAGCTCAGGAACAGGCAGACAGAATGACAGCGTGTAACACACAAACAATACCGGACAAGGGAGTGAAGACAGGCAGGAACTTAAATACACAGTGAAGATGATTAACAAATGACAGCCAGCTGTGCGGGAGGTGATTAGTGTCCATGGTAACAGATGAGGGCGTAGAACTCAGACGAGGGGAACACGTGATGAATCCAAACACACAGACAGTCCAAGGGTGGTGACAGATACCAAGCACCATATTATAGAATATTGCCAATATCCCTAGCATGAGCCTAAACCAGATATACACCAGATTTCAAAAACTGAATTTATTTTAGGGGGTTAGTAACTTCATGAGCTGGAAAAAGTGATATTGTTACCACCCCTGCACTGCTATCATGATTTTTCTAATACTAGGGGTGTATACCTTGCCAAAAAACAATGATAGCATTTGACCCGGATTGATACCGATCAACCCCCCTGGCTCATGGACTAAATACACATTTTAAACAGTTTATTTGTAACTATGTTGTGTGTAGGAGGCCGAGAGGGATTCAGTTGAAACTCAGTTGAAGCTGGAGAGGTTAAACGAAGAGAAAGAGAGACTTATCAACAGCCTAGTGGAGGCAGAGTAAGACACACACACACACACACATACGTACATAGTTAACTACATTAGTGTGATGAAGATGTTGGTTCAGTGTGGGTGATGGAAGAAGACAAGGGTCGGCGAATACTGGGACTCGTGCACTTTATTTATGACTCAGATTGCACAGAGATGCACTGGGCAATCTCACTATAAACTCAATTCACTTTCAAAGAACACTCTTTCCACTATATACAAAATACTCGCTGTATCAGCTTCTCATTCCACTTTCAACTTGGCAGGGTGTCATGCACGAGTTCTCAGGCTCTCTCTCTCTCTGCCCTCTCACCACGGCCAGCTTTTATGCGGTCTCCCCACGCCAATTACTGCAATCAGAGACAGGTGTTCGTCCTTTTGCACTTGACCTACTTACTCACCGCTCGGCTCCGTCCTCACTCTCCCGCTACAGACTTCGCTGAACCACGCCCCACTCGCCACATACCCCCACCGCCGGACTCAGGCCGGGGAGCCGTCCGGCCTGCAGCCTCTCACCTCCCCTCCTCCGGGAGAGGAAGTCAGCCACAGCCATCTCTGCACCCGGGGATCACCTTGAACTTTAAAGGTTGTAAAGCCAGATCCCAATGGGTGATCCGCACGTTGGTATCCTTCATGCGGTGGAGCCACTGCAGGGAAGCGTGGTCCGAACAGAGGGTGAACTCTCGACCCAGAGACTATAGCGGAGGGTGAGGATGGCCCACTTGATGACTAAGGCTTCCTTTTTGATGGTGCTGTACGTAGTCTCTCTCTTCGAGAGCTTGCGACTGATGTACAGCACCGGCCGTTCCTCACCCTCTATCTCCTGGGACAAGACCGTGCCCAACTCTCTGTCTGACGCGTCCATCTGTTGGGAAAAAGGGAGAGAAAAGGTTAGGAGCCTGTAAGAGTGGCCCGCCACATAGGGCAGCCTTTATCTGAGTAAAGGCCTGCTGACACTGCTCCGTCTACTGGACGGTATCTGGTGCTTCCTTTTTAGTCAGATCAGTCAGCGGGCTAGCAAGGTCCGAATAATTGGGCACAAACCTCCTATAATATCCTGCTAGCCCCAGGAACTATCTAACCTCCTTTTTGGTCTTAGGTCTTGGACAGGTCACAACTGCTGCTGTCTTATCAATTTGGGGACGCATGACCCAAGTTTAAGATACCTGACTTCCACGCGCCCAATTGCACACTTCTTTGGGTTGGCCGTGAGCCCCACCCCTCACAGCGTCCTGAGGACAGCTCGCAATTGCTGTATATGCCGCTGCCAGTCGTTTCTATAGATGATAATATCATCCAAGTGTGCAGTGGCATATGCAGTGTGCAGCTGGAGAATTCTGTCCATCAGGTGATGAAAGGTGGCTGGAACCTTGAACAAGCCGAAAGGAAGGGTAACAAATTGGTGTAATCCAAACGGCGTCGTGAAAGCTTTTTTTTCTTTAGACTTTGGAGACAAGGGGATCTGCCAATATCCCTTTGTCAAATCCAGTGTCGAATAAAATCGAGCCGTACCAAGCCAATCAAGTAATTCGTCAACCCTTGGCATTGGATATGCATCGAACTTCGATACAGCATTCACCTTGCGATTATCCACACAGAACCGGACTGAGCCGTCGGTTTTAGGCACTAAAACTATCGGGCTCGCCCAGTCACTGTTGGATTCTTCTATTAACCCCATATCCAGCATAGCTTCCAATTCGTCCTGAACTATATTTTTTTATGTTCAGGTAACCTATACGGCCGGCTTTGTACCACTACGCCCGGCTCGGTCTCAGCGGGGTGCTGGAGGAGGTTTGTCTGACCAGGAAGAGGCGAGAACACATCAGCAAACTCTGCTTGTAACTTACGAATGTCAGCGATCTGGGACGGCACGAGAGATTTTAAACTCGCCTCTGGCCCGAGATCCTCTTTCCCGCTCACTACCGTTGCCAGCATCGCTGACTCCGCCTCATTCCATTTTTTCAGGAGATTGAGGTGGTAGATTTGATGTGCCCTGTCCCTATCTGATTGGAGAACCTCATATTTGAGATCCCCAATTCGCAGTGTGACCACAAACGGCCCTTGCGACTTGGCGAGTAATTTAGAGCTGGACGTGGGAAGCAATGCAAGCACTTTATCTCCTGGTGCAAATTTGCGTAGTCTAGTTTGTCCTGGGCCTGTAACAAGTTCTCCATCAAGAGCCGCCCCAAAGTGTGGAGTTTTGTTCTCAGGTCCAAGACGTATTGAATTTCGTTCTTACTGTTCGAAGGTCCGTCCTCCCAAGCTTCTCTAAGCACATCCAGTACCCCGCGGGGTTGGTGCCCATAGAGTAGCTTGAAGGGGGAAAACCCCGTGGAGTCTTTGGGGACCTCGCGTACAGCGAACAAGAGGGGTTCTAGCTTCTTATCCCAATTTTTGGTGTCTTCCCGCACAAACTTACGAATCATGGATTTCAAAGTGCGATTAAAGCGTTCCACCAGGCCGTCTGTGGGTGATAAATGCTGGTACGGATCGATTTAATGCCCAGTAATTCGTACAGTTCGCAAATAGTGCGTGACATAAGCGCCGTGACCTGATCTGTGTGAATCTCTTTCGGGATTCCCACCCGGGAGATTATTTGAAACATTCGCCACCCTTAGCGGAAATATTGCGAAGCGGCACTGCCTCTGGGTATCGCATTGCATAATCCACCAGGATCAATGCAAAGCGATGCCCTCGTGCGGATCACTCTAATGGCCCGATGAGGTCCATGCCAATTCTCTCGAAGGGGACCTCCATTAAGGGAAAAGGGCACAAGGTGCATTTGGGTTGGCCGGTGGATTCACCAACTGACATTCGCGACAAGACGCTCATTTGAGCGTCTCATCACATTGTGTCGTGAATGCCCGGCCAGAAAAATTGTGTCTGGGTGTCCTAGGTCACCCGATACAACTTATCTTTTATAATAGCAAAATAAGGATATGTGAGCAGTTGGTCAGGATGGAGGGGCTGTCTGTTGATTGTACGGACCTGGTTAAACGCATAATTGAGAGTCTCATCATGAGACTGCTCCAGAGGAAAGTCATCACGCTCAGAAAGAATTCTTCTTTCAGTCACGTTCCGATCCTCTGGGGCAGGCACAGAGGGTCCCGGCACAGCCTCTCCAGCCTGAACAACCGTTCTCTTCCCCTGCTTTCTTTTTGTCCCAGAAGCACCCGTGCACATATGCCTCAATAGTGTTTTAAACCCCAGCCAATTGGTTCCCAAAATTAACAGGTGACGGAGGTGCTGGTTAACGGCCACCTCCACTGGTTAACGGCCCCGAAAGTGGATAGCGACTGGCACCAAGGGGTAATCAATAAGTTAACAATTAGTATAAAGTATAAAGAATATATTAATCTTAGTTAATGTAAATTTCAACATTTGCTGGTACATTATTTTTTTTTTATTAACTAACATTAACAAAGATTTATAATTACTGTAGCAAATGCATTGCTAGTTAATGGTAGATATGAAATGTAATATTAACTGATGGGACCTTATTGTAAAGTGTTACCTGAATTCTAATTAAATGCTAGAGAAAATTTTTGGGCATCATTGGAGCTGAGTGAGCTGGTCACTCTGAACATGAGTGGGTCTTTTGCCCAAAAATGTTGTTTCGGTTGGCAGCTCAGTAGGTTTGAGATACAGCCATACACACAAATGCACATTCATGTGAATTATCAGAGCATTTCCATAATGTATAGAATCAATACTGCAGAGCTGAACAATCAATGTTGTGTAGAGTTAATGAATGGGACTATATAGCTGTTTTCCACTGTTTTGTGTATGTGTGAAGGCATCAGATCATGCTGTGGGAGAAGAGAACCCAGCTGATGCGAGAGACTCGCTCTGCTATAGATTCAGACATCGGACAGGGAGACATACGAACCATGAGAGCAGAGATTCACCGTATGGAGGTGTGTGTATAACTTAGATTGCAGTTTTTTTCAATTGCCACATTTTCAAAACTCTTCATACTTTCTGCATTACCAACATGAATCTTGGCCAAACAGTTATTTTCACCTCCAAAACTCCCTCAGACTAACAAAACATATAAAACACCAAATACATGACTCAAAACAAGCTTTTTCCATCATAACTCTGACAACAATTCTCATTCAGAAAACATGCATGTCATTCACAAATCTAACAACTGGGAGCATTACATAAATCATGTAATAAATTAACTTTTGTTTAAAATTGAAATTTGAAACATGAAATTTTTAAAGTTTGGATGATTTTTTATTTTTACATAAATATATTATGATAAGAATAATATCTTTTCATTTTACTGACATAGAAATTAATCAATTTGGTACTGTATCTTTACGTATAGTAATTTACATTGAAAAAAATAAAAGTTGAAACAATAACAAAATCCTGAAGCAATGAAAATTAGAAAACAACAACAACAATAAGAAAAAAAAGAACCATGTCTAGGATAATGCTGTATGTGCAGTATTGCAATGCATTTGCTTTTTCAATGTGCATGCACATAATCTATTATGCACTGATTTATAAATGATCAGCTATAAAATAGATCAATAGGTTACTGTTTGTTACCCTGGTTCTCTGAAACATTGAGGAGAGAGATCCGCCATTTGCACCTGACCTCTGAAGAAGCATCCAATTGCACCAAGTCTGCCATGACAGACAGACGCACGTGTCCAATGCCAGGTAAGGGACCCACCCCTTACCGGGTGTATAAAACACCTGCACACGCTATCTTTCCTCAGTGAGCATATTCACTTCTCATGCAGCAAGTGGGGCAAGCTTGGTGGATCTCTCCACTTGATGTTAGGGTTAGGCTTAACTTTCGGCAAGCCCTTGTCGTACCCTTGGCAAAGTCCGCTCTGCCATCCCTGCCGGTGTTGACTCCCTCATAACTAGGCCGGAGCTGACTCAGAGACATTCCATATGTTCCATTGCCCTAATGGCCAGTCCATATGTGTACCTTCCACATGATACCTCCCTCCGGTCAGGATGTGGACACTGTAGCGCCTGCGCCCCTTCACAATTAGTAAAGGCATGCTTTCCCAGTGTTATCCAATAGTCTCACCGAATGGGTTATGCCGTGATCGACTTTTCTCTGCGTAAAGCCCTGTCCCATCTTCCGCCCTAGTAGGTGCAGGGGGATCAGGTGGCTTACGTGGAGTGCCGGAAGGGTGCAGCAATTGTGGCACTTTGGTGGGGATCCCAATTTGTCAGTCATTCTGACGTAACTTCGAACATGACTGACTGAAAGGGAATGTCTTGCTGTACCACCACTGAGAGGCTGGGTCACCGACTCAGCTCCAAAGCAAAAAACCTGAAATGCAAGCGCACCCACTTCCGTATTTATACCCGCACTGCAGGTGGAGCTTGTGATGCAAATCTCCCATGCCAATGTCCATTGGCTCGTTTAGTTTACACTCGAAGGTGATTGAACCCTCAGGTGAGATCTCTCTGTTCCCTCCTTCAGGTAATAAGGGTAACATACATAACCGAGACGTTTTCACTTTATTGAAAGCCATTAATAATGCGTCACTCACAAGAAGTATATATACGAAAACAACATGGCTATTAATAACAAAATATTCACTTATTTGACAGAAATAAATCTGAATTGTTAAAAAGTTATTGTAAATTGTCATTGTAAGACTGATTCACAGTTTGGCCCGCATTGACTTCTGTTTCACTGAATGTGTGGAAAGTTTTGAAAATGTGGCTTCGGTATTGACCGATGCTTGTTAGCATTTAAAAAAAAAAATAATATACAGAAATATATAATATAAAATACTGTACAGTATTACAAGTACAGTAAAAGTAATGTACATTAATAAAAACGTGTGGTTTCAGTCTGAATGGATCTTACTGTATGTATGTGCCTAGGTTCGTTATGCTCAATTGATGAAGCAGCAAGAGAAATTGTTAAGAGACATGGAGTCAGTGGTGGCCAGACGTGAGACTATAGCTGTTCGGAGTGAGGCTCAGGCACGATCCGACCATAAGCAGCCCACACACAGTGACTACCACAACACTCTCCAGAGCCTCCGTCGAAAGATTCTCCAAACTAAGAAGGTGCGTGTGTGAATCAAGGTTATTATAGTTTAGACCTTTTGTTTTACTTTGAATAATTTCATTTATTTATTTATTTATTCATTTTGCTTAATATTTGTTAGTTTTTACTTACATTTTTTTTTCGTGTTTTCTAGTTTTACTGCTTTTTTTTAGCAGAGCTGCTAAAGTTAGAGTTGCTAATAGTTTCTGAAAATGATTAAATATTTCTGGTATACTTGACTGTATTTGGTCAGTGGTGACATTCAAAATATTACAAAATATTTTTGCTTAATGACTGGTAAACTATACAATTGAGAGTTTTGAGCACAAATCAATATTTATTGTCCATTTAAATATCAATGTTTTGAGTGTGATCATTTCATATATATTCAGAATGTTAAAGAAAAGATTGTTCAGAATGTTATTTAGTTATTTTAAAGTAATTTTGTGTTCTGTTTAATTTTAGTTAATTAGTGTATATTATGACCTTTTACAAAATATCTCTCACTGGTGTGTGTGTGTGTGTGTGTGTGTGTGTGTGTGCAGCAAGCAGAAGAGTGTGATAGTGTTATAGCTCAGCTGGAGGAGAGGCAGGGCTCTATGACCTCCAGCCTCCGAGACAAACATGTGCATCTCAGTGACCTGCAGAATACCAGTGTGGTTCTTACCCAAGACCTCAGGGCGCTACAAGAAGCCAAAGAAAGAGTCAGTGCATCCACCATCCCAGTGGTGCCCCAGCCTTTTGGAGGCTCACAGCTTTATAAGCCAGTTATATTATGGTTAAATCAACCAACTGTGCTGTATGTAGAGCAATTTTATACCACATAAATGTGGCGTCAGAGCGAGTGTGTTTACATAGACGTTATATTTACACAGATAATCACAATCACAGAAAATTGCATTGTATCACACACTTGAATTTATCCAATGCAAACATTTGCAATAGACGTTAACACTTGTGGGCAGGGGCTGAACGTACCAAAAGGTTTTGTTTAAGTTCCATATATGTTTTTAATGCCACTTATGTGGTGTCACCAACGATTTTCTTCTCTCTCCTGTAGAATATGTCTCGTCTTCCTGTGCTACAGGGTCGAGCGAAATACCTGCAGGCTGTTAAAGAGGGGCAGTACACTCCGGTGGCAAGTGGAGACATGGCATTGGAGCTGGCTACACAGAAACATGAAGAGAGATTGAAAATGGTCAGCATAAAATCCACTGAAGATTATCTGAAGTAAATTAATTAGATCACAAGAATTCTGGAAATCAAAAAACAAAAAAACAGAAATATTGGATATCTCATGCAAAGCTAGTGTATATATACAGTATATACCAAGTTCTGCCATGAAACTCTAGATGGCACAGGATGATGGGTCCTTCAGGCAAGCTGATGCCATTTACATTTACATACCATTTACGTTAAAGGGTTAGTTCGCCCATTTAAGACATGAAGTTGTATGCAATCCTTACCAGCACTATAGTGCATACACACTGAACCACTCTGTTGTCACCCCCCTGGTCAGAGTTCTGACCGCTGGAAGTTTTTCAATGAAGTACTCCCGGCTATTTTCCGGGGCCACAAAACTGCGTTTTTACGTGAAAAAATTATTTGCGTTTCAAAGCTTGATTAATTTACCACACAAAAAGCACGCCGCTCAAAATTCATGCCTCAGCTGGTAAGGATTGCATACAACTTCATGTCTTAAATGGGCGAACTAACTACATAGTACAAGCTGATTCCTTTCACATCTGCAGCCAATGAGCTGGTTTAACAAGCTGGTTAGCCTTTGCTTTAGCTTTTTGTAGCATACTTTCGGAGTTCCTCTGCCATTCAACATTTACTGTAGATAAACTAATGTTCTTTTACTTCTAATCTTGGTGCATTATTGCGTTTGTTGAGTATCACAGATTTGCGTGGCATTGCGGTTGTATAATCATGAGTAATGGGTAGTGATGCAACAAGATTAATTTCAGCAGTAAACCATTGAAAAAGCTGACGTTAGTTCTGTGTAAATAAGGTTAGGTTCAGTAATATTGTAAAGTTAATAAATTGTGAAATTAGATGTTCTAAAAAAAAAAAATGGCAGCAGCATGCATAGCAAATTCAGTGTCTGTAGTTGTCTTGACTAGACGATCCAGAGTAATGAGACTTGAAAACAATGAAAAGTGAAGTAACATTTAATAAAAAATATGAATCAAACACATATACAAACCAGCACATAACAATATAAGATAATAGCTGAAGGGCTTACAGGCAAACTATGCAGGAATTTTGTTTTTGTCAAACAGTGACCCCTAGAGTTGCTGTGGAGTATTTGTCTTTAACATTACAGTCGTAAATACTCACGCGTCTCTGCACTCACGGCCTGATACTCCTCTAAAGCTGTTATATCATGGTACAAATCTGGCATAGTGTCCCTTTAAATAAGATGTCCAGGGGGTGTTTTTGGGTAGGCCTACTATGATATTAGACTACTTAACCTATAATAAAAGATAATGAATTTTAAACCTGAACCAAAAATTTTTTTTTCAAAGATCAACAGTCTGTCATTAGTCTTTAGTCTGACACTAAAAAATGGCGTGTTGTGGTTCCGGTTCACCAGCCATGTCAACGAAACGAATGAAATGAAATTAATGAAAATTTGCTTATCAATGTATATCTAAATACGCGCCCATATCTTTGTAGAACTTAAAAAAAAGAAACGGAAAAGATGCTGCTCCCAATGAGCCGTCAGCGGGGGCCGACTCAACCTCCATGGATAGTTTTTAATATTTTATCAGGCAATAACTACTCTAGCAACGATTTTGCTTTAGTATAATTTTCAGGACAGTTAGGGCCAGATTCGGGGCAACGTCTGGTCACCGTATGTGGCGGTGTGCGCGCAGTCTTCACTCGGACGCACTCTTCAATCTATCGCCGTTGCGTACTCTCTCTATTCATTCCACCGAAATCACGAAATAAAATGCACACAAACTTAGAAATAAACTAAAAAACAAAAAACGGATGATGCGAATTAATTCCTGCACTCTTATCCCAGGTCAGCTCCATTATCCAGAATTTGGCTGAAGAGTACCCTCAGCACCACAGCGCTCTCCACAGGATCAACCTCATATTAGCTGAACACCTTCACAATGGACTTCAGGGCCGCCAGTAACCTTGAAATGCCTATTACATGAAATAAAAGACATGTACGTACATACATACATACTCACATACATGTTTGGCAGCTTTTGTCCTGGTTAGTAAAAGGTCTGGTTTATTATAATGACAGTGATATAGAGACTGAATGTCTGTTATGGTAAGGATGTTTTTATCAAGAGGTGGGTGAAGGATGTCTTCAGATATAGCAAAACAGTCCATGTTAAACTAACTTTAACTTTAATGAATCAGTGTAAACACAGTTGCAACCATCTTTACTTTAAAAAGCATTGTGATTGAGTATCTTAAATAAAATCTCTTTTGAACAATTTTCCCTAAAATGTCTTATCACTTAACCATGATTTATTTAAATAAATAAAAAATCCATAGGATATATACATATGATGAGGGTCAAATAGCATCTACATTAGTGCAGTGGCTTCTGAAATAACCCTGAAACAAAACTGAAAGCTAAATTACAATAAATTTGAAGCTCACAGCAAAAGATGTGTGATAGCAGTTGCCAAAGTGAAACCAATGAGGCAAAGTGGAGAAAAGCAGAAGCTTGTGATTTCACAAACCAACAAAACAAGAATAATGATCCTGGGTGGAGCTAAATTAACAGCTTGACAAATGTACAATATTGTCAGATCCATGGAAATGCATGATTTGTTTTTTAAATTATAAAATGTTGTGCAATTTCTCAATAATTCTTTTAAATGTGATTTGTTTTGGCATGCATTAAAACTCTTTATTAATATTAATAAGATTTTGCTTCATCTTTTTAGTTGCATCACGCCAGTAGTAATGTTATGTTCTTCTTTGCGCTAATATCTGTATTCCAGCTAGCAGCGCCCTGTTTATATTATTACAAAAATGGCTAAACAGATATCTATGACACATGTAAAAAGAAAAGGTCTAGACAAATTTGACAGGACAACTTGACAAGTTTGTCTTTTGAAAGTGAACTAACAGATAATTAGGATTACAACAGTATTATCAACCACTTCAATTCAAAACCCAGCCCACAAGAACATAAACCATAAAGAATCTAATCCCAAACTTTTGAATGGTACACTTTACACATTTTTTACATATTAAGTATATAGAACAGTATATCAAAATAAACAAGATTGAACATCGATAAATTTATACAGGTTTATTTCAGTTGTTAGAGGCGATTATTCATTAAAACATCAAGAGTTTGAACAACTCACTGAACAATGTAGACCAATGTTCAGCTCCAACCCCAATTAAACACGCCTACTCTAGCTAATCAATGTCTTGCTTACTAGAAACTTCCAGGCAGCTGTGTTGAGGCAAGTTGGGGCTAAACTGCAGGAGACTGTGTTTAGGCATCCCTGATGTATACGATAGTTAAAGGCTAATCTGTATCCTAATGTTGTATAAAATGTATTTCAATCACAGATGACTGCTAATAAAAACATTATAAACTGTTATGAAAAGGCAAACACAACGCAATGCTAAAACAAAAAATATATATATATTTTTACCTTACCTTATTAAATAATCCATTTTTCACAGTGTCTGGTTTGTGTTCCCTGGGTTTTCACTAGAGGTCTCTTTCCCTGATCGTCACCCTTATCATGAACTGCATTTCCCCTTAACCCTTTGCCTGAACTCATCACTGATCATTGCACACAGCTGTTTCCACTCATTGTTTGCACTTGTCTATTTATACCCTTGTCTGTTTCTGTGTTAGTTGTTAAGTCCTTGTTTTATGTCAGCTGCACTTCAGTGTTCTTGTTTGTTTCTTGTTTTTGGACTTTGTTGTATGGATTTTGACCCTTTGCCTGTCTGACGATGATTATGGATTACCCTAAATAAACACTGCATTTGGATCTTACCTTTTATGTGCATTCCTTGACAGAAGGACTCGACCACAAATAGATCTAGCAGTACGGGTTCAATCCAGTCAGTATGTGGATAACGCGGAGTGAGATTTTTCTCTCCGGGAGATCCTCAATTTCTGTGTTTGCATTTTTTGCTATGTGTGCTCGAAGGACTGAGGAGACCATAGGCGCCAGGCTCGTACAAGAGATAGTAGCTTCCCCAGAGGTGGTAAGCTCGATGCCACCGCCCTACCATCATAAACGGAGGAGGAGGAGGAAGCCGGCGTCCATCACCCATAAGGACCCAGAGGCCCTCCCCGATCAGCCCGCTGTCGTCTCGGAGGTCGTCCCCGAACAGCCCGCTGTCGTCCTGGAGACCATTTCCACCATCAGTCCTGCCATGGCCAAGAGGGCTGTTTTCACATTCTATGCATTGGCCGTTTTGCATGCATGGAGGAAGCACACGTTTGCCGAGCCAGAGACCGCTCGCGTCACGTCTGCCGAGCCAGAGACTGCTCGCGTCACATCTGGCGTTCCAGAGACCGCTCGCGTCACGTCTGCCGAGCCAGAGACCGCTCGCGTCACGTCTGCCGAGCCAGAGACCGCTCGCGTCACGTCTGCTGAGCCAGAGACCGCTCGCGTCACGTCTGCCGAGCCAGAGACCGCTCGCGTCCCGTCTGCCGAGTCAGAGACCGCTCGCATCACGTCTGCCGAGCCAGAGACCACTCGCGTCGCGTCTGCCGAGCCAGAGACCGCTCGCGTCACGTCTGCCGAGCCAAAGACCGCTCGCGTCACTGAGACTCATCTCATCTGCATTTTTCAGACTTTAGGAGCATTTGGTTCTCCAGGAGTTCAGCATCCCACAGAGCTTTGTGTTCAAGACTATTAAAACAGATTCCAGATCCTTTCCCCACTGCATTTTGACCCAGCACAACCATTGGAATATATCACTGCCATCGGACTGCTAACTGAACCATGAGGAATGTAAATATCACCAAACCTTAACCAAACCAGAGACCTTGGCATTTTTGTATATCATCAGTATATGGTTTTCTAATTTACATTAGATGTAATATAGCTTATGATAGTTAATGACAAATAATATTTGATTTATTTGTTTGTTTGATGCATAATAAGGTTCAGAAACACAATTTAAAGGTGACTTAGTTACATGTTACTACATTTACTTATTTTTTTTTTTTTTTTACAGTCAGACATACATACAAACCAACATAGTGCAGTAGTGAGCAATCTTGTAAATCCATAATTCCAGCAGTGACAAGAGTGATTTAAGTGTTTGATCTAAGTGTGTAAGTGAGTGGGTGTGAGTGTGGGTATGTGTGTGTATGTGTAAACAAAGTAACCATTTATTATTTATTACCATTGTCATTACCATCACCATCCCACTCCCCACTACCACCATACTGCCAATATTGTGTTGGTAGATTTTTATTGCCATCCTTCCTCCTATGTAACAATTGCTATTGTCAATCCTGTATAAAATAAAATATAATGTAAAGATAACCTTCCCCCACATCTCATCAGTCCCTATCTTTTACTATTTTTTGTGTGTGTTATGTGCAATGTCTAAAGTGCATTAAAATAGGGAGTACAATGCGAGAGTGAGATACTAAATTTACTTACTACAGTAATAACAGTAAATTATGCATAATTACCATTGTTACCAGATTGTGATGTACTCATAACTACACCTTAAAGGGTTAGTTCACCCCAAAATGGAATTTCTAACATTAATTCTTCAACCTCATGTCGTTCCAAACCCATAAGACCTTCGTTCATCTTCGGAACACAAATTAAGTCGCAACCTCATTGCAACTTTCAAGGCCCAGAAAGTGAGGAAAGACATTGTTAAAATAGTCCATGTGACTACAGTGGTTCAACCTTAATGTTATGAAGTGATGTGAATACTTTTTGTGCGCAAAAAAGCAAACAAAAATAATTACTTTATTTAACAATTTCTTCTATTCCGTGTCAGTCTCCTACGCTGATCACATAGTAAACAGCGCATTCAGGTTCTACAAACGCTGCACTGTTTACTAAGTAAACCTTTCTGGGCCTTGAAAGTTGCAATGACGTTGCGACTTAGTTTATGTTCCGCTGATGAACGAAGGTCTTACGTGTTTGGAACGATATGAGGGTGAGTAATTTGCAACAGCAATTTATTTATTTATTTATTAATAGTTGCGCATGTCTGGGAAACTCATGAATATTAGTGTATACTTTTCCCATGGAAACCGAAAATCTTGTAACACCTGTCTTTCAATTTTTTTTTCTTCCAAATTAAGCCCGTTAAAAAACATGGGATGATGCTAATTATTTCGGCCCACCAACACTTTTAAAGGCCCACCCATTAACCACTTTCTGCAACCGCCTAGCCTGGATGCCAGCCAAACTTAGTCCCGCCCACAGCATTTGAGGATGGGAAGTTCGGTCTGGACTTGATCCGTTGTGAAGCAAGTGTGCCCGAACCAAAGCTGTTCAGACCAATCAAATAGTCAGGACGGACTTTATACGACGATGGACAGATTATCAACCGTAACGCAATCATCCACGTCACCAAAGAGCGATTGGGTTGAATCCGTTTAGAACAAAGAATGGCTGCCACTGGAGAATTTAGATGTGTAGATTCAGCCATCACATCTGTTATAGAAGATGTAGGCAGCACATTCATTTTAAAAGAGGAACAAAGAACCATGATCAAGGCATTTGTCGATTGGAAAGATGTTTTTGCCATCCTTCCTACGGGATTAGGTCTATCCAATTGACCTTTCGCCGGCCCCTCCCACAAAATGGCCATTGTCCAATCACGCATCATAGCAACCGTTACTGTGTGAGCTGTTCCGTCAAACAGTAAGCAGTGCGCCCACGGCGTTAGTAAATCGGACAGATGATACCCCGAGAGATTGTCTGGAGAAGTTGTGTTTTTTCCCTTTCCAAAGCCCAAAACACAACGCGAGCGGTGCCTAAGATGTATTAAACAGTGTGGACGCCCCAATTCCAGTTAAATGTGTCGAACATGGTTAACTCGTCTCGCGTGCAGCGTGCGTGCGACTGAGATTAGTCAAAGAAGCACGGAGAAAGCAGATCAAGAGGATCCACAAAGGACTTACTGTACATTTTCTAAAGGGTTGTTGTTAACATACCATGATATTCTCTGGGAAAATGAGCAGCAGTCAGCTAAGTTAGCAGTGCAGCACCGTAGACTACAGTTTAGAGGACGTTCGCAACGGGGAAAGCATGAAGCTTACATGACAACATCAGTTCATATATCAATATCGTAACGAATAGAAATAACCTTAAATAACGTATGGTTCTCTGCCTCTTTCCGTCTCTTATGCATAACATTAGTTACTTTTTAAACTAGTTTTACTTTTTTTTCAGCATGAGCATGACACGCAATCGGTTGCTGTGGTAATGAACAACCTGCTTGTTAAAGCGAACGTGCTACTCCTGTATCGGAGGCAAAATGAATAAATATGCAGCGCAAGTTATATATTTCGAACTCCAAACAATTAGCCACTGAACCAGTTTATAAAATCTTCAAGGCTGTGCTGGTTGCATTATTTGAGGTAACTTAACATGGTCATGGGGTTTTTCTGATTTTTCTTGAGACTGGTAAGCATTAGCATCAAAGTCGTGTCTCATTCATTTCTTAATTTTATATTTGGAATAAATCCCTCCACCGCATACCGTAACCCCTTTTGCTTCGATCTTGCTTGATATCGCGGAGGTATTGCTCCAAAAAAGGTCACTGACACGCACGGGAATACCCTTTGCCGTCATGGCAATCTGTCGCGCTGCCCGTGTTTGACCATTTGTTTGACGGAGGTAGCAGCAGTAACTAAGGGGGGCGGGGCTCGGCGAAAGGCTAATTGAGTGCAGAGGCATTGAATTTCCTGGTTCAGTTGAAACACGCCCCATAATCACAGCCCAATGGAGCAGTATCAGACTCAAAAAAAATAACTTCACTCTAATCTCAGATCAGCTCCATTATCTAGCATTTGGCTGGACCAACAGCATATTAGGCAGGTGGTCATAATGTTACAGCTCATTGCTAACTCCATTTGGGGACATCTAAGAATGTCTTTATTTGTACTGAACATGTCACGGTACAAACAGGAAGGGAGAACTCAAATGCAAAAACAAGGAGGATTTATTAACAAAAAGAAAACCAAAACACAAAGCAAAAACCCACGAGGGGGAAAACACAATAAATGAACATGAAATAAACACTGACTCTGAACATGAAGATATCCACAAAGAACTGGGAAGACATATGACAACGAACCGACAAAGACTGCAAACAAGAGGAGACTTAAATAGGGAACAAATCAAGAGGGAACAAGTGGGAGAACGCAAACACTAATCAGGTAACGAGGGGGAGGATCAAACAATGACAGGAGCACATGGCTCAACATAACAAAACCACCCATGTGCTAACACGATAGGACAGACACGTGACACTACCCCCCCTCAACGGAGCGGCTACCAGGCACTCCATCAGACTGGACGGGAGGGACAGACCAGGGCGGGACGGGAGGGACAGACCAGGGAGGGACGGACCAGGGCGGGACGGGAGGGACAGAGACATCAGGCGACCGGGGCGAAACAGAAAGTCCATAGGGCGGTGAGGGTGAAACACAGAGTTCATTGGGCAGTGAAGGAAAAACACAGAGTCCATCGGGTGGCCAGGGCGGAGCAGAGCCCTCGGGCGGCCAGGGCGGAGCAGACCCTTCGGGCGGCCAGGGCGGTGAAGACCTCTCGGGTGGCCAGGGCGGTGAAGACCCCTCAGGTGGCCAGGGTGGAGCAGACCTGTCGGGTGGCCAGGGCAGTGAAGACCCGTCGGGTGGCCCGGCGGTGCAGACCCCTCGGGTGGCCAGGGCGGTGAAGATCCCTCGGGTGGCCAGGGCGGTGAAGACCTCTCGGGTGGCCAGGGCGGTGAAGACCCTTCGGGTGGCCAGGGCGGTGAAGACCCCTCAGGTGGCCAGGGTGG